GGTCTGGGTCACCATAAACACCACACAGGGCGCATAGCAGCTCCCGTCTTCTCCTAAACAGCTTTAACAATACCTCCTGTTCTCCTACTGACACATATTTACTGTTTTAAAGTACTATATTTAGTTACTACTATTCACTTTTAAGTATGCATTTGACAGCTCAATGCTTTTGCTATCAGAATCTTTTGAAACCGGCCTTCAGCCCAAGAGACAGCCTTTCATATTGTGTTATTGTAAAATGACTTCCTGCTTGTATTTGCATGCCACATGTGTGTACTTAACATCTGTGTGTGTGTGGAGGGGGATTTATTGCAGTGTGGGGACTTGTACATACACAGTCACTATATGGGGACCTGTTTCTCCTTATTTGGGACAAAAATCCGGTCCCCATATTATAAATAACTTATTATTATCAACAACATGTTTCTAAGTTCAGATGTGGGTTGAATTTGGAAAGGTTATGCTTAAGGTTAAGGATGCAAATATTGGTGCAGATACTGGTATCAGTTCCATGATATCAGCTCTGTTGATATCAGTTTTCCCAATATCCTGGTTGATCCTTTAATTGTATGTAGTCAGACTATTTACGGGCTGATTTTGGCCCAGAACGTCTCATAAAGTCTGAGCCTTTATTCATACAAAGTTCTTCAGTGGTTGTTTGAAGGATGAATAACAGTTGCGTGCTACAATTAGATCTATTGTGTAATAAGTTAACTCTGTTTAAAATAAATGCCATTTTCTCTTCCTACTGGTATTGGCTCATATAGGATATCGGCAGATATTTAAAGTCAAAGTATCGATATCTGTATAGGAAAAGCTAGTTTGGTGTTTTCCTAGGCCTATTACGATATGATACATACCAACTTATATTTCAATATATGAAAGTTGGAGCAATACCTTTTGGGGCTTTATCATATGTACATTTCCTTAAAATGGGGAGATTTGTGGTATTTTTGTTTTAATACAATTACATTTGAACTATAAAAGCTTGAATAAGTGACTTCTATGGCTAATTATTAACCACTAGCTTTTTTTTATATATATATATGTTGCAGCTCAGACCTTTAACTGATATTGTGTATTTAAAAATGGTTTACTGGGATTGTCTTGTTTTATTGTTATTGTGTCAGAGGCATAAAGTAGTTTCAATATAATAGTTTATTGCAGAATATCTCAGTAGAAATGCCAATGTTATGTCCCTGAAAAGCATGCAAACCCAACATGTGTGTGTGTGTATGTGTGTGAGAACAAGGGAGACCGGTGCCATTGTTAAGCCTTTACATCCTGACAACTGCGCGTCTTGATGAGTTAAAAATAACTTTGAGCTTTCCAATTTTGTCACACTGCTATTTCAAATCACAGCGACTCCCCCTGGTACGCGCCGGGGTCAGCAGGGGTCACTTCCTGTCACAGAACTTGTCCAAAACGTGCTTAAAAACATGTCTGGAGTGGGAACGCTGGGGCTGTCACTTTAGTTAATTTCACAACAGGTAAATGACAGTGTTTTATCTCAGAATGATGGTGAAATAAATATTAAATAGTGAACAAAGTCGGAACAGAATGAGGCCAGCGGCATCGGAAGAAAAAAAGCCAGTTTGTTAAAGTTATAAATGGAACCTTCATCAAGATGGCACGGCACACAAGGGAAGTGGATGCTCTGAGCCATTTTTAAATGAGTAAACAGTCAAATAGATATGCCTATGCAAACAGCACCCTATGTAAACTCTGGCAGGCTAAGCAAATGTGTTATGTAACCTGCTCTGGAGCGATGGACACTTATGGTCTGCTGGATATGCCCCATCACATTGCTATTTCTGTCACGATAATGAATGAATGAAGGAATGAACAACACACTGAATAACACATTTTGAATTACGATATGCATTGCTGAAGTAAATATAGGCAATAAACGATAATATTGAAACTAATTTATGTTAAGTCTAAAGCAGATTTATGGGCGCACTATGTATTTTTTTTGGTTGGGGGTCCATCACCTGCTTGTTTCTATGGATATGTCATTGCTCTGCTTAGAATGTTCCAGAGCAGACATGTCAAACTCAAACGCAGGCCCAGGGACCAAATTTGGCCCGCGATATAATTATATTTGGCCTGCAAGATCATATCAAATATATATTAGAGCTGGCTGGCTGGCTACAGATAGGCTATAGAGACATTATGTATTTAAAACTGTGTTATTATTTTATATTATGCTTGTTTTGGATTCATTGTTTAAGCAAAACTTTTATTAAACATTTATTTTAATAAGAAAAGGTTTAACATTACATATCTCGAAAGAAGAGAAAACGTGCAGATGCTGTTGAAATTTTTAAATAAATATTTAGGTTGGCCCACGACTTAGTCCCAGTTTTTAATTTTGGCCTCTGTGAATTTGAGTTTGACACTCCTGTTCCAGAGTATAACATTAAACAGCTCTACTTTATATTTATTCAATTACAGGTGAGTGTATAGCTCAAAAATATCAAGAAAAACAGCCGTTCTGATTGTGAGCAGGGCTGCCTCTCCACAGATCTGACCTGTAACTTGGTCTGGTTTGGTCTCTGTGAAGGTAGAAAGGTTTAATGTCATACTGTGAAACATTCCAGATAAAGTAAGAACATTTACATGTAGAGGAGTATTTGACTGATCTTCCACCAGAAAAGTTACTCGAAGCACCTTTAAACCACAAAAACTATTCTAAATCTACAATTCTATTTAAAAAATGTGCATCTGTAATGAGTCATAGGAGTAATTCTTCAACCTTGTACAATTTAAATCTTATCACATAATCAAAAACATTTGCCAGTAGTGCAAACAAAATGTACACACGATAAATACTGACCCCAAAAATATTGTTCCATCTTTCATATATTGATATTGTAAGTCAATATAGTATTTATCATGACAGGCCTAGCTATTCCTTTTATGAATTATAGTATTGTCTAGATCTACTCCAATGTCTGTGCAATGTTTTACTTTACTGACAAGCCAATATAAACAGTTTTTTTCTTCAAACCAGACACATTTTCCGCAACTGTACAACCTTTTTATTTAGTATTTCCTGAGAGAAGTTAGCACAGCAGCAGGTTGTATATTACTAGTCAAAAGTTTGGACACACTTTTTCATTTATCTTGCCTTTATTGTTCATGATTTTCTATGTACAATTAATCTACTACTAGTAGTGGGGAAATTTTGGTTATTTTTCTGCACCATGTTCGATGGCTCATTATAGATACAAACTAACAACTAACGTGTTGCATTCTGTTATGTATTTATTGCAGTTTGTTTTGTTTTTTTGTTTTTTTTTTACAATATTGTACATTCAGAATGCATTATCATTTGGATCATATCACACTTCAGAATCTATTATCAGGACAGCCCTACACCTTTCTACCTCTTTGCCAGTCATCTATATTACAAAATTTTAAATTAAATTAGTATTTAGTGGCAGAAATCCAGCTGGTTTGAACTGTGAGCAGATTATGTTGATGAAGGCAGCAACATTAGGTTACATAACATTTTACTAATTAAATTGTCAATGAAAGCTGCTAGGATGTCTTTTTATATGTCAAAACAGGCTGTTGCCTCCTGCATTCAAAGCATTCAAGCTGGCAAAAAAGCCTGGCCTCAAAGGTTAAAAAGCTAATGTAGTCTTTGTGTCTTCCATCAAGCAAAGACACAGAAACAGATAATCTGATATACAACCTGTAATGAATAGATGTTAAACCACATTAATTTTAAAGGTCCCATATTACGCAAAATTGACTCTTTTTACCTCCTCAAAAACACACCTGAAGTTTTGTTTTGTTTCATTCAGACATGTTTGAGTAATCATTTATTATTATAGAATTATGTATAGAGTTCAAAAGTACAGTGGAGCACTTCCTGTATTGCCACATGATGGTGGAGTGTTTTCTATATGTGAGAAGAGCCTAAATATTCAGGGTTTATGTGTTAAACACGTGTGAATGAAACAAAACACAAGTCCAGGTCTGTTTTTGATGAGGCAACAACATGGATCAGTATGGGCCCTTTAAGCTCGCTAAATGGTTGGCAGCATCAGAATAATCATAACGAAGTTCAAATGATGGTCAGTCTTTAAATTGTGTATTTTAGCACCTAATTTCAGAGTTTGTACAGTTTTGGTGTGACCAGTGTTTTGATCTGTTTATACACGGCTATGTGCGTCTCCTCTGTGACAGTGGCGCCGGGCCAGTGCTTCAGAAGCTGTAATAATGGACTCTTTTCCCCAAAGGAGCCTGAGTAAAAGAAGTGACACGCTCTGGGAATGACAACACACACTGCAGGCCCAGCAGCTACATAAAACAAGGATCTTATCTTTTGCATTCCACAAGTGTTTAGATTTAAAGGTGCATTACTTCTGTGTTACTTTTCTGGTGGAAGGTCTGCCGAATACTTGTTTTGTCTGGAATGTTTCACAGTATGGTATTAAACCTTTCTATCTTAATGGAGACCAAACTAGACCGAGTTACAGATCAAAACTGTGGAAAGGCAATCCCCACTTACAGTCAGAATGCTTGTTTTTTTTTGACATTTTTGGACTATAACACCATCTGTAATTGAATAAATGTCAGGTAGAGCTGTTGAATTTCATACTGTGGAACATTCCAGACAGAGCTATGGCATATCCATAGACACAAGCAGGTGACAGACCACCAACCAAAAAGTTACATAGTGCACCTTTAACTGTTTATTTCTGTAATTTAATTTTATTGGACTATGACTAAGCAAAATGTGTTGTTTAAGTAGTGTGGGTATGGTCTGCTGATCTTCATTTGAATAGTAATAGGGATAGCCAAAGGAGGGTGTGTTCTGTCCTGTGGCTGATGCCTCCTTGTAATGTTTGCCCAAATGGAAATAGGTGAATTTAAATGTAGCTCCGAGAGTATTTGGTTTGAGTTCCTTCGAGGTGTTTAGAGAAACCCCCAGTATGCAAATGTCTTGTACTACTCTGTTTGAATATGGTGTCTTTTTCCCACAGATCCCTGCCTTATAGTGATGCCACCATGTATGGGCGAAGCAGACCGCTTCAGTCTGGAGGCCCTCCGCCACATCCACAAACAGCTGGATGATGACAATGACGGAGGGATAGAAGTCAACGAGAGTGTGGAGGTAAGAAGGAAGGTTTGTGGGATGTCCTGCTACAAAGACGAATCACTAAGTACATCTGTAAACATTAAGGCCTGTAGGTCATGAAAATTACTTATTGTTCAATACTTATTGTTCAATATATGAAAGTTGAACAATATATTTTATTTATTTATTTATTATTTATTTTTATTTATTTATTTATTTATTTAATAGTGCATATTAATGAACATCTTCAACACTGCAGTGTAAATATGACAGATTATAGCAAGAATGCTCATTTCCATCTGTATCCATATTTTGGGGCTCAATATGTATTGTGTATACAATTTCTTTAGAATTTGGGTATTTTGTTGTAATACAAAAAGATTTGAGCTGCAAAAGGTTGAATAAGTCACTCTTATGGCTAATTATTGGTTGATTCAGCTTTTTATCTGTTGCAGCTAATATTGTTTATTTAAAAATGATTTTTTGAGATTCTATTACTTTATTGTCATTGTTTATTGTTGTACTTCAGAATTTGTTACTGTGCCAAGTCTACACACGCTGCAAAATGTAGCATTGCATGGACAGATACATTGGAAGTTAATCATAAACTGCATTTACAATTCAATCATGCAGGAACTAGTTGAGTAATTTGCATATTCTAAAGAGTTTCAGCATTTCTGATACTGTAAATTTAAAACGATAAGAAACATATCAATATTAAAATGGTCATTATCAATCCTATGGTTATTTTTTGGATTACCTTGCACTACAAAATGCATTTCATTTTTAAAGGGCCCATATTACACTCTGATCCATGTTATAATGTTGTTCCCTCATCAAAAACATACCTGAAGTTGTGTTTCGTTTCATTCACACAAGTTTAACACACAAATCCTGCATATTTAGGCTGAGTTCTCAAGCAGGAAACACCTTGTTTTAATACAGGAAATGCACCACTATTTTTAAACTCCATACATTTCACTAGAATCATTTGGATAATTTCAGGCCTGAAATCTCTACTAAACAAAAGATAAAAGGTAGCTGTTAACTTGAAAACTACAGCTTCATGATATCATAAGCAGCATTTTGAACTCTGGAGATGTAGACAGCTTAATAATGTACTCAAGCATGTGTGAATGAAACAAGACACAACTCCAGGTAAGTTTTTGATGAGGTATCAACATTATAACATGCCTTAAAGCTCTCTCAAGAGTCAGTTTTGTGTCCTAAAGGACCTTTACGGAGAAACTCAGTGTTGCAGTACCCCATTAGGAACACAGTACACAGTTGGGCACAATAGCTCACATGTCACAATATATTATAATAACAAAGAGTAAAACATATAAATGGTAATAATAAATTCTAAATAAGTAGCAAAAATAGCAAGAGACAGGTGTCAAATAAGACATGATTATATACATGTATATGTACAAGTCAAAATAAAATAGAAAAGTAAGTAATAAAAAAATCTGTATTTAATTTATGACCATCCTTTGTCATTTGCACCAACCTAAAACATATCATGATATCAGTTCACGAATAAGTAATACTTTAACATTGCAAAATCACATCTGATAATGTTAGATCTGTGATAAAGTAAAACATTAGATTGTAGATAATTGGCTTGAGGGGCCAACAGTTTGACACATGAGACCGCCCTGTCCCACTGTGCCCTGACTATCCTCTCCAGTATCTTCCCCTCCACACGGAAGCGACCTCATTCTGTATTTGTTGGCTGGTTTCATTTTTAACTGACTGAGATCTGAGAACTGGTGTGAGAAACTTGTATACCGTGCGATCCTTCTGTGGCGCCTCAATCAAGATCTGACGCTGTTTGTGTATGAGGCCAGTCCAAAGCCCATGAGACCTGGCTCTGAGCCCAAACCAGGAAGGTCCAGGACGGACTGTTGCATGTCCTCCATACTGGTGACTTTAAAAGGCCAGCCACTCCGGTGTCTTGGGGAGGGAGTTGTTTTTGGCTGGCGCTCATATTTCCTTTCTGGCTAATATGACTTTAATACTATGATGGATCTAACTTTTTAGCTAGTTTTGCATTTGTGTTCTTTTTGCGCTAAAATCATACACTGCTGGCCAAAAGTTTGGACACACCGTCCATTTTTACTACTTTTTACATTTTATATACATATGGAGACATCAAATATATGAAGCAAAATATATGGAATTATGTGGTAAAGAAAATAATTTCAGTAACTTAAAAAAAAATATTCGAAAAAGCAAAGGGTGGCTTACTTTGGGGATCTGAATATAAAATATATTAAACATATTTAGTATTTAGACTTATTTACCCTTTTTTCTTTATTACATAATTAATATATCTTACTTTATGTATTTGACTTCTTCTGTATATATATATATATATATATATATATATATATATATATATATATATATATATATATATATATATATATATAAACTGAAACTGAATGAAAGATAATATATCCAATCGTTTGATAAGATAAAAGCTTTTCTCAACTCAAACTCTAAACTCTTTTATAATACTTAGGCAGTGTACAGCACTGTTTATAACTCTACAACCCAAAATATCACAGCTTTTTGATACAGAGACTTCAAAATAATCAGTTAAAGTCATTGCAGCTCCTTTCTGATTTCATTCTTAGAGGGAAATTTACCTTCAGATTAAGGGGTTTTCTGTTGGTATGAGCCTTTTGTCATGCTCTATAATTTATAACAACATGTCAATCTATTTCTATATAATTTTTTATTGTGGTTTTATAGAACAAGCGAGAATCTTTGGGGACCCAGATTTGTTTAATGACCCCAGATTAGGAATGACAATGAACATGAAGTTTTGTCAACAAAGTTTTATTAGTTGAGCATTTTATTTTATTTAGATAAGACAGGGTGATAGTGGGATATCAGAAGGCAGTTTGTTCCAGAGTCTGGGCCCATCACCTCAGTGTTTAAGTCTGACCCTGGGGACTTAATGCCCTGTTTGAGTTGAGAATAGGCCGGAGTTCAGTCAAACTAGACCCGCCCCCTTTAGTCGATTGATGGATGCACCACAGCTCCACATATAATGAGGGATTCACAGTGGATTTAATGACGTTTCCTGGCACCAACTTGAAAGGAGTTCCACCGTCGTGTCCCGTGGCCTGCATCTGGTCACTGCCTGGAACACGACCCTGATCTGATCTTGTCTTACAGACTGCTACACAAACCGAAACCATTCTCTATTGATACTGATACAATGACATGGTGGTGTTCTCCACATTTCACCATTAGCGATACATGTAGCAGTTTCCATGGAGACACAATGCACACATTAGCAAACACTGACAGAAAATTATGATTGTCTGAAAACAAGAAAAAAAATACAAAATGCATTTAAACACATTTTCAGGAGCCTGTGATCATTCTTGGTCCTGTTTAGGTGTTTGGTTTTTCAAGAAAAAGGTGAGAATGACTAACTGAAAAACTATTGGCTAATGCTGGCTGGTTTGTGAGTGTGATTTTATTTGTGAGAGTCTTGTTTAACAGCACAAATCATCTCACCAGCTCTTTCTGGTCAGATTGTGCTAAAGGTGCACTGTGTAGCTTTTTTGTTTGGGGTCCGTCACCTGCTTGTTTCTATGGATATGTCATTGCTCTGCCTGGAATGTTCCACAGTATGACATTAAACATCTCTACCTTACATTTATTCAGTTATAGGTGGTTTGATGCCTCTCCACAGATCTAATCTGTAACTTGATCAGGTGCTATCTCTATGAAGGAAGAAATGCCATGCTGTGAAACATTCCAGACACAGAGAAAAACATGTGACAGAGCCTCCACCAGAAAAGTTACACAATGTACCTTTAAAATAAAACTCAGATTAAAGTTTGAGTAACAGAGCTTCTAACAGAGCAGTGCTTTCTGTTAGCCTCACACCTCCAGGGAATGTTGATGACATCAGCTGCAAAATATCAATGCACGTGATTTGCAGAGTGCTTCAGTGTAATTGAAGTATGTGAAGTATTTGACACTTTATTGTATGAGTAATCCTGAACTGGAACATGAATAGTCAGTAGCTTATGGTTGAGCTTAGTGTGACTCTCATTCGTCATGTTACAGCCATCTTGTTTTTCATGACAGACATTGCAGAGATTGTTTGGTGGTTGATAAAAGATGACATAAGGTCTGCCACTCAACAATGTTGTGTACATGTCAGACATACTCTCCAGGAAATAGATGATGACTCCGACTGATTGGATTGTGGGACCCAATTTTAATGATACAGAATCAGTGTATGTTTTTACTAGTCTTTTGTATAGTGGCATTCAGTGGTGGAGGAAGTACTCAATTTTGTTACTTAAGTAAAACTAAATACAAATACTGGAAAAAAAAAAACAAGTAAAGTAAAAGAATCACATAAAAATATGCTGAAATTAAAGTATTAAAGGACTTCTTAAAAAGTCTTTTTAAAAGTATTTCACACAGTTTGTTTGCTCAAACTACAATTGTGTTAAAAAGTTTCACACAATCATGAAAACTACTTTTGTTTTTCAGTCCATTTTGGAAATGTAGTGGAGTAGAAAGTAAAAAAGTCTACTTTAAAATTTACTTAAGTAAAGTACAAATACTTAAAATTTATACTTAAGCACAATAATTTATTACTTTTACTTTGTTACATTCCACCACTGGTTGCATTTGATATTTTTTCAATTTTATATTACATCATTTTGAGTTGAAAAAAAAAAAAAAAAGGCTATTACTAGGCCTGTCACAATACTTACTATATTGACTTGCTGTTCAATATATGAATGCTGGAACAATATATTTTAGGGCTCAATATCTCTACTATTCCTTAAAATGATGCAGTTTATTTCAAAATGTATTTACTGGGATTATCCTGCTTTATTTTAATTGTGTCAGTAGCATAAAGTAGTGAACTGTAATAAAAGCAAAAAAAGCATAGTGCTGTAACCTGCTTGTCTCCCTCATGATACATTTAATCTATTCTGTGTAAAAATAAAAAATAAAAAGGAAATGACGCACAGTGATGCTGCAAGAAT